TGTCTGCTCATGCGGTGCGACCAGAGTCCGGCCGCACGCTCACACGCGCACGCCGGCAGGTGCTTGAGGTCGAAACTGCGTTTATAGGCGAATTAATGAGGCTTGTGAACGTCGGCCAATCGGAGACCTTTTGGCAAACTGTGACAAACCGGCGGTCATCAGTCAGAGAAAAAGAGACACACGGCGGCATCGCGCGCGCATGCGCCGGTATCGTGCACACATGCGCCGGCATCGTGCACACATGCGCCGGCATCGTGCACACATGCTGCCGCATACTTTTGGGCCGTTATACAGCCGTCAGGATGCTGCAGGTTCTTAGAAAACTCTAAATCTACAACTTGCTGTTTCTACAATTCAGTTTTTCTATTTAATAAATGGAATTAATCCTGATAAACTCTAGTGGATTAGTGTCTTTTAAAGGGCGGAGCCAGGCAACTTGTTCGCCCTGTTTCAGTTCTTTATGCTAAGCTACGCTAATGGTATCTTGTGGAACGTGCATTGACGTTCCGATACCGTACGTTTTCCTCCCTGGTACCGATTCCATTACCGTTCAGCTGAATATTGCTGGATCGGTGACACTTTGCCAGGTGTGGCTGTAACGTATCGTTCACCGAGGCGAGGCGGCTAACTCGTAAGCTAACGTGAGTTAGCCGGTTAAATGAGCTGATGAACGATACAGGCTGATCGGATGCTGTTTAGACTCGACATGCTCGCCGATACCAGAGGCATGTCACATGCTGGTATCGGTTTAACTGCCCCAAATGAGAAGCTAGACCTGTATGTTACCCCATGTTGAAGTTTATCGACATTCTAGAATAAGTTAAGACACACACACACACACACAAACACACACTCCGGGTTCTTCCGCAAGAAAAAGGAGTGGATTATGTTTAAATTTTAAACGAAAGTATCAGAAATGTTGTATTATCCAACCCTCATATCAGAGTCCGTCAAAAATCAAAATCAAACGCAGCCGTAAAAGTCTTCAACATGTCGGCGCCACAGACGCGTTCTGGATTCAAACCCATGAATCCAGTCCATCACCAATGGAGGGATGAACGTGATGTCCTGTGGGGAGCGGCGGGGCAGCGCCGGCCTCCTTTCCCATCTGCCCCCTTCCCTCCCGCCACGTTCCTCCCGACTCACCCAGAACTCATCCATCTGCAGCTTCTCCTCCTTCCACTTGTGTCACACTCTGGGGATATAAGTCAGCTTTATCGCTCACAGCCTCCAACCGCCCCATTGTTTGTCTCAACAATAAAACCTCAGTTACCCCCCCCCCCCGCAGCCCGTCTCCCCCCTCCGTCCTCTTCGACCTCCGATCCGCGGACACGCCGGTGAGCTGGGTTTAGCGGCCGGCGATATTAATAGAGGCGACCTCGTGCATCTCTCAAGCTCCGTCGCATGAACTAGAGGAGCGAGTCTGAGGGTTACACATGAGTTACGCACTGGCCGACATTTTGTTGGCCACAAACAGGTGTGCGCGTGTGTGAGAGGAAGAGATTCATACATGGAAGGAGCAAAAAGGGGAATGTATTTTGAGGCATATTTGACTATTTCAGGTGCGTGTGCTCGAATGAGGCATTCTGTGTACGGAGGCATTTGTGTTGGAGTAATTGTATCGGCCTTTGACGACGCGAGACAAACAGGCGGAGAGAGAAGCGGTGGGAGAGGTTAGGGGGGGGGGGTCAGACATATGTGTTATTTGGGAGAATGCCGGGGGGGCTTCTGGCTTGCTTTCACCCCAATCCCTGCACTGCAATCTCAATACGGCGCTGTACTGTGGGTCATGTGAGAGGGGGGGGGGCTGAACATAAAAAGAAAAATGAGCCCAAGTGTTTCAAATGTTTTGAATGAAATCAATGAAAATCCAGCAAATGTGTTATTTATGCAGAGAGCTGGGAGGCAGGGAGGAGGGAGGAGGGAGGAGGGAGAGAAACGTCTAATCACCATGATTGGAAATGTGGCCACAGAATGTGGGGAGGAGCGATATATAAAACGAAAGAAGCCTCAGGTGGGCTTCCTGTCGGGCAGACAGCATCAAGTGGAGGATGCTGCTATTCCAGTTTATTTTGCAGAAATTGACCCTGGAGTTCGTCTCCTGGATGTTACTGCGGTGGAGTCGGGGAGCGACGGGACGGCGTGGGCGTGTGTTTTTCCTTCCACCTGCCCCCCCCTCTGGTGGTCGTCTCTGACCGATGCGCTCGAGGAGTCGAAGGAGGAATAAAACGGAAACAATAAAGATAAAGCAAGAGGAAGCTCGGCTCCGTTATCTCTTCTAATTCATGCCAACGACGGAGAAAACGGAGGAGGCGAATCCTCACGGGGCCGCGAGCAAGACGGATGGGGAGGAAGAGGGGCGGGGAGAGATGATGCGCCGATCGGAAGTCATTTCCTCCTGTTGAGAGGATCATTTACCGGCTCGACCTCACTTCACATTCTACATTTAACAACCCCCAGATGCACACGGGTACCAGCTGCTGCCCACAAGGAAACGCTGCGCATAAGTGTTCGTCCCTATTTGTGGCTTCATCCAGATGCAAAAGTTCTCTCGCTGCTCAAAGTGATTTACCTGCCTGCCGCCCCCTCCACCCCCCCGATGGGCTGATTGAGGCCTTCCTGGTGAACGAACCGCAGGTGACCAGGAACGATTGGCCGAACTCCTCCTCTTGTTAGAATCACTGATTTGTGGAGCTGAGACAGTTTAGTGCCACGTTTGCATTAAACAGAAATGCCGTTGCCGGCGGTAACCGCCATGTGTTGCAGAGCGCCGCCGCTGGATTTTGAATTTAGCACCTTTTAAAAGTAGTTATACAAAGTAGCTGCAATGGAACAAGCGAGTCCTCGCTGAGTAAGATACATCAAGCTGTGTCACTTCAGCGGAGGGCTGGAATCCGCCAGAGCAGCTTTTTGTTTACATCCCTCTTCTACTTTCTTCACCACAACAAATGCCGCTTCCAGCTGGGAGAAAGGCGACATAATTCAATCCCGTATCTCGACAAACGGTCATCAATCAGAGGCTTGATTGTGCCTCTTTAATCACTTAATCTGCTGCAGGAACCAGATCAGCGGTACTCGATAACGTGAAGCGTTGGTCCTTTCATGAGGGTGCCGCACATTATGCTCCTCGCGTCTCCACTGACGGCACTCAATCAATTTAAATCCAGTTAGGAATACAGATGGAGCCTTTTGAAGACGAGGATCTGGTGGAGCTGGAGTGCTAACATAGACGTACCCCCCCCCCACACCTCGCCTCTTCCCTCATAAATATTAACTACGGACCCACAGTAGAAACATAGGCCATAAATAATGCAGCTCCCAAAAACGCTGCTCAAATAATTGCGGCTCCGAGCCGAGTCCCGGAGGCCGCCTGCGAGCGGCGTTGCAGCTGTGTTGCCTCCGCCTCGCTCCTCCATAATAAGCATTCCTCGCGCAGGTGACAGCGGCCACGCTGGAGGGGGTCGCTCCACGTGTTTTAGGAGAAGGAACGAGAAGCTGGGGGGGGGTTTGGAGATCAAGCAACACTTTCCTTTTCGGCCCAATTCCTCTACTGCGTTACGTTGATAAAAATGTGGTCAAGCTTTTGGTGTCATAAGCAATTAACCTTGTTGCCTTTGGCCGTAATTCATGATGAAAACATCAGATCCGCGGCTGTTTAGCAACATAATCAACAACGCCACACTTTAGCAACAGCAATTAAACCCTAATGAGGAGAGGAAGCGAAAGGAAATAATCAGTAAATACCAAATATTTTATGAGTGGGTACCCGGCCCACATTTATGTTAATCCTCAACTAACTCAAAGACCCACGTTGACAGCAGCGAATCGTTACACCTTCATGTGTGTGCAGTTAAAGTGCATTCGTCACAAACGACTGATCCAAAAGGCACAAGGTTGATTGATCATCAATGTCGTTAATGCGTAGGCACACCTAAATGCTGCATAATAAGAATGAATTATGAGTTATTGATGACCAGACCCAGGGCCACAGGCCCCACATGACTCCTGGCCCCTGATCTATGACCTGTGACCTATTTCGGCAAGTAATGACCTTTAAAACCTCAGATTGGCCTTTTGTCTCCGTGTGAATCGTCAACAAAAGGCTCAACGTGCTCGGTGGTGTTTCCCAACGCACGTTCCACTATTAGCTCTGTCAGCACTATGGGGCGGCTAATAGATACAGTATATATGCACAGTACATGTACAGTATATATGCACAGTGCATGTACAGTATATATGCACAGTGCATGTACAGTATATATGCACAGTGCATGTACAGTATATATGCACAGTGCATGTACAGTATATATGCACAGTACATGTACAGTATATATGCACAGTGCATGTACAGTATATATGCACAGTACATGTACAGTATATATGCACAGTGCATGTACAGTATATATATATATATTTATCTTGTCCTGTTTCCCTTAGCATCCCTCACTAACCCTTATCACGGCTCCTCTGTGGCCCGTGTGTCCTGCATGGTCTCACACACACGCACACACACACACACACACACACACACACACACACAGCTGGATGCATGCAGCTGCCAATCAGCCACCTCTGTCCCAGCTGGCTGACTTGCAGCATATGGATATTCCCAGTTCACTTCCAGTCATGGAGCTCGATCCAAAGCCCGCTAGATGAGGGCTCCTCCTCTTGAAGCCCCCCCCCCCGCTAACAAAAGAGACGTGTGCAAACCCGCTGGTGCTTTCCTCATCACAGCGACGTCACACGCCGTCTGCCTTTCCCTCACGGCGCTATGACACAGCGTTTTTCTGCAGCTGCTGACCTCTGACGTCTCTCACCAGGGGCGTATGATAGACAGCCTGGGCGGTGCTTGGGCCCCCCCCCCCCCCCCCCCCTTGGGGCCCAGTGGAGAGAGATCAGAGGCCCATACCAACTTTTGTACGATATGTACGTGGTCCGTTTGTCCATTTGGCGTCTCGTTATAAGTCAAGCTACCGGTCCGCGACACGGCGGCGACTCACCGATCTCGCAGCTCTCTCCGGAGAAGCCCTGAGGACAGTAGCAGCTGTAGCCGTCCCCTTCCTGCAGGCAGCTGCCTCCGTGGAGACACGGGTTGGTCTGACACGGGTTGTCCTCCACTGTGAAGACAGACAAAGGGGAGACAAATGTGAATTTCACCATTTGTTCTACGGCGAAAGAGCCCTACGGAAGAGCCTCGAACAAACTGTGACAGGCAGTGAGCCGGCGTTGTGCCCCCACCCCCCCCCCTCCACCCCCGGTCATTATCCCGAGCCCGTTCCGGAGTGGGCCTCCTCGTCCCGGGCCTCTGGGACTTTCTACAAGGTGAGGGATGGGTCCACGTCGCCTTCTGTCGCACCCGTTTGTCATGACTGATGGTCGCCGGGCGAAGGACGATGTGCTGACTCCCGCCCCCCCCGCCGCCCCCCCGCCGTTACTGCTGCCTCTCATGATGAGCCGGGGTCCACATACATTAGATGATCATCTCATGTATGCTGCGTCGGGAGGGGGGGGGGGGGGCACCTGTATCTTCATGGCACATCACGGGGAGGCGATAAACACATTTCAAGTGGCCGAGCATCTTCACCAGAATTATTTTGGCGGGCGGATGGCGGAGATGGAGGAGATTTAGTCGTTATTACTACTGTTATATTTTAGAGCGGGATGAGGGGGGGGAATTAGGCCGTCAGGGTTTTGTTTATTCAGCGTGCGGACGGCAGGGCGCCGGCTCGATGAAGTGTCGTTTTATTATCCGATCCCGATAGGATTGCAGCCCCCGACACAATCTGTCAGGCCATATGATACACTGCATCTCGCCCGTAACAGCAGCCGGCCGCACTTAATGACATATGAGCCGGGAGACGCTGCACAACTCCCAGTGCAGTTCCCCCGGCCACGAGCCACGGCCATTTGCGCTCGTGCCTCGGCGCGTGCGAGGTGCATTCCGCCCCGGACGCATGGCACGCCGGTGAGATGTAGATAAACGTGAGCGTGAATTCAATTTCCTGTGAAGCGGGGCGACGTGACACTGCAGAGAGGCTCCCGCCGGTACCCGGGGAAGTGAAGATGATGGAAAGTGTGGCTTTGGAAATACATAAAAGTGATTTACGGAATGAGGAAAAAAAAAAAACACATTAGAGACTCATTTCCTAATTCGGCAGCGGGGAGGAAAAACTACGTGATTTTAAACACACACGTCACTTAAAAGGTTAATGATGTGCTGATGGAAAAGCTCAAATCTACCATGAATGTCTGGTGAATGTGTGAGGAGAAGAAATGAGGACAGCTGTTAGAGTCATATCCGTTGATCTAGGCGAGGGGGACGTGGGGGGGGGCAGAGGGGATGGGGTGGGGGGGCACTCAGACCTCCACCTTGAGAATAAACAAAGAGGCAAAATACAGCAGAAATGCATCATGACAAACCCAGTATTACTTTAACGACCAATCCCCTTCGTGCTAAAACACAAAAACAACACGTGCTCCACGGGACCGATCTGCCCGAATCACGCGTGACGCAACCTGACACGCGCGTGTCCCCGCGTCAAAACGCCGGCCTCACGAAACTCTCTTCAGTTTGAGTGTCTGCCGCAATGGGGAAAAAGGGGCGGCGTGACGTGACAGCTTGGGGCCCGGCTCATCGTGGCCGATTTACCGTTCATCCGGTCAATCACTCGGCTGTGTGTGGGGGGGGGGGAAAACAGCAGCGCTGGCTGCTGCTGTTAATAATGCATATACGGTTTCCTTTGCCAGCATGAAAAAATGAGAAAAAGACACGTAAAAAGAAAAGGACGGATTGGCTCCTGTCACCTTTCAATAAATACCTAGAGGTAAACCCACAAAAGCGCAGTGGCATAAATGAGACTTTTGTTTTTTTGTGGACATGGACGGTCAACCTGTCCGTCCAAGGCACAGTGGTCCGTTCATGTGTGCGGACCTGCATGAGGCGACATAAAAAACCTTCGACGTCTATTCTTCTTCCCCCATTTCTTTCACAATAGAGAAAGACATTTGTGTGCATCATTTAACCAGCAAAACGGCCTTGATTATGACGTGAGAAGGACTTCCACTTCCACTGCTCTGTCTCTAAACATTCCATCCAGCGGGTTTCACATTTACCCAACCAGAGAGGTTACAGAGAGGTGGTAGTGAAAAGAAATGGCTGAAAGGGTATTCATTCGATTGAGCAAAGAAAAATACAAATATGAGAGAGAGAGAGAGAGAGAGAGAGATGGTCTGACAATGAGAGGGAGTAAAAAAGGGCCATCATTTCTCCTCACTTGATGCTTGCTGCTGCTCATGATTAATTGCGCCCTGGTCTTAAAATAGGTCGCCTCTTCCAGATCTTCTGAGTGTCTTTCTCTTTCTGGGATAAAGTCGTAGGGCAAAGGAGAAGGAGAAGGAGGCGGGGCCAGAGGAGGGCGCCGTGGTCTCTGCCAACCTGAGATCTTCCTCCCCGACGTTGAGCGGATGCAGAAACATCTCTTCAATCCTCTGCAGGATTTATGAAACATGTTCTCCTGCGTGACACTGTGCTGCTCTTTGGGGTCGTGTTAAGTGTCAGGAGGAGGGGAGATAATCCCCTGTGGCACATTTGGGAAGCTGCTCCCCGAACACACACACACACACACACACACACACACACACACACACACACACACAGAGGATTTGGAATGGGCCATAAAAGAGGATTGCGATAAGGGAAATGTCTTGCGTCCCATGAAGTCTGAATCTGAGTGCTTTGCAAATTCGACATAATGGAAGCCCCCCATAAAAAGCTTGTGCTGACAGATACACCGAACTCCACGCGGGTAAACGTCTGCAACACACACACACACACACACACACACACACACACACACACACACACACACGCACAAGCGCACACACACACAAGCGCACTTTCATTTACTTTCTTTACACCTGCTTTTGCCCGCTGCGTCGCTGTGCCTGGACTCACCGAAGCTTGTAATAGCTTTGCTGAGACGGGGATCATTCCTTGGCCTGCTAAAGTGTCCCCCCCCCCCCCCCCTCCATGAGCGTGATAAGCCATCACCTGTTCCCCCCGGCGAGAGTAACGCTGCAGTGCATCCACAGAAGGCACTCAGGCAAACGGAGCAGATCCAGCTGTGGGCTTCAATGCCGTCGTAGCGTGAAGTATTCATGTGGTCACTCGTAAGGGGGGGTAGGTGGGGGGGGGGGGAGTGTGTTTACTGCGTGCAGCGACGACAGCAAAAAGTGATATATGCAAAAGTGTGATGAATGACAGCCGGGCCCGGTCCACACGTCGAGAGAGCAACGCCACATTAGGAACCGTCTGCAGGTAAATTCATAGTCAATTAATTGGTCCTCGATCACGTACGTGCCTGAAATGTGAAAATGCAGCGACCTGTCAACCCCGGTAAGCTCCGCCCTAAAGCGTATCTTTACGGCACTATTTGTCTCTAAATGGACCAATAATTTACTAAATGAACATCAACCGTGTATTACGTGAGACTATAGATTGAGACCATAACCTGGTGTTTACTGAGGGGGTAAATCGAGAGAGGAGAAGACTCATCTGATGGGTCAAAACGCTTTAGGTCCACTTCCTCATTGGCGTTTTTTTTAGCAATGTCACCGTTCACTGAGTCATCTGCAGCGACCTGAGTGACCCCTGAAGTTTCCACCTCTCCCCTGACAGGACGCACGACTAACCGGCGAGAAACGAGATCCACGAATCAACCTCCATCAGCCGAGTCACTCACCGCAGACCAGCTCCAATTACTGAATGCACACCGGGGGGGGGGGGGGGGGGGGTATGAAACCTGTGTCTGCTGGAACTAAAGATAACGCCACATCTCTGGCACGGCCCCCCGGAGCGCTCTCGCATTACCTCCTGGTGACGGATGGGCAGAGGGGAGCGAGGGCCGAGAGGTGGAGCGGGACAGACGGAGAGACGCAGGTGGTGCCGGTAACTTGAAGTCGGCGAGGGCCGTTACACCGAACCCTTTGGGGGGGGGTTCACTGCTTCAAGCTTCCACCGCTTTCCTTTCAACCAACTGGGCCGACTGTCAGTCGGCGGCACCGGAGATAAATCCCAACTTCCCACCAGGACAGACGAGGAAGAAGAGTTTATTTACAGCTTTATTCTGACTCGGCCTTTAGCTGCTGAGCCTCTAGATGTGCGTCTGTGGAGGTGTCACTACTTTTGATTGACGAGTGTAGTGATAAAAAACGAATGTGGCCATGTGGTTGTTAAGACTGCAGCCTTATTAACGTAGAGGGGGGGGGAGGGGGGGTCACATGCTGTATGCCATAAAAGCCAGCCGTCGTTAAAAAGAGGAAGATATCGTAATACTCTATCGATCTCCCATCACGCCGGAGCACCTGCTGGACGCCCCGGCGTTCCCGGGGCTGGCAGGAAGTCAGCGCTCAAGGACGACGCCTCGAATCCGGGCCCGAGCCCAGCTCGACCACGAGGGGAGGGGTCCGCGGACGAGGGGAGGGGAGGGGGGGGGGGGGGGCAGCGTGGCCTCTGACAAACGAGCATCGATGGCCACTGCAGAGGAGGGAGAAGCTATTTCTGTCCCCACCGACCACACGGCCCGCCTCAGAGTGTGTGTGTGTGTGTGTGTGTGTGTGTGTGTGTGAAGACAACACTGTGCAAAAACATCCTCTTCAGCCGGTAAAACAAAGCGCGCTTTGCTATAAGATGGAACTCACGAGGATTACGGCCTCATAAGAGTTGCTGAGGCTGAAAGAGAGGAAATTGCCTGAAGTGAGATTTACTTGAGGATTTTAAAAAACATTGTGAGATCCCCAAGTTCCACGTGACCTCTCGTTGGGATGGGAAGTCTCTTAATGAAGCGTGTGCATTAATTATTACTGAGCACGCCGAAAGCTGCAATCAACACCGGATTACTCAATGAAAAGACTGCCAATATATTAAACTGTGCCAAGTTATTATTTATTTACACGGCGATATGATCAATTTACAGTCTGCAAACCGATCCGCGCGTCATTTGTTCTTTCCGTGTTAGAGAGGGAATCCAATATGTTTGTGACTTTAATAGAAACCAGATGCATTATTTTGGAGGATTCTCACTCAAGTGCTCCCATTTCGGGCCGAGTACTCCGACAC